TCTGGCCCCCTCTCTGCCTCCAATACAGAGCCCTCCTCAGAGCCTTCCCCAGACTCCAGGACTGGCCCATCTTCTTCCCCAGATTCCTCACTGTCCAACTCGGCTGCCAGCTTTGTTGGCCACTGACGGTCCACAACACACTCCGAGTCTCTGCTGAAGCGAGTGGTGTGGTGGGGTCCTGTAGCAGGCAGTTCCAAAGACACATTTGCTGTTGGGGCTGATAAATGAATGGTTCGTGCGACTCCCAAATGCAAAATTAGAGATAGCCCTCTACTTACGACTAACTGGAATAACTAGATTAATTTGCGTGTAACTGGATGAACTAAATATATGCTTCTTTCTACCTGCTTGGTCCTCACAACAATCCTGTAGAGTAGGCCAGGCAGCATAGCTCCATGGCTAAAGAGAAGTAGGAGCTTCACAGCTGGTTGGAGATACAGGTTCAGGCAGAGATTCTCACATGTTCCTGCAAGAAGTACAGGTAGTCCTCGGGTTACGACCACAGCTGAGCCCACAATTTTGGTTGCTACGCTCCGCAGGTTGTTAGGCAAGTTTTGCCCCGTTTTACGACCTTTCTTACCACAGATATTAAGGGAATCGCCACAGTTTTAAAGTCAGTCACACAGTTGTTAAGTGAATTTGGCTTGACTTTCCTCGTCAGAAGGTTTACAAAACTTGATCGAGGGACACTGCAACCCTCGTAAATATGAATCTGCAGCCAAGGGTCCCAATTTTGATCATGTGACTGCGGGGGAGGGGGCGGGGGGAATGCCTCAACGGTTGTAAAGTGTGAAAAGTGGTCAGAATGGTCGCTCTTTCCCAGGGCCGTTGTAAGTCGAGAGGATCTGTATTTAGAAGAGAGAGCCCAAGCAACATTGCAAAGGAAATGGCAAAATTTGCCCTCCTGTTTGGCAACGTTTCTTGGGCACTGGGCTGTTGCTGTACTCAGTGCCACGCATGAGGTGCCCACCCAACCCTTCTGCGCATTTGATTTCCATACATTGATCTCTGTTAGGTTCGTCCCTTTTGGGGGGCAGTTTTCTTCTTTTCCTTTTTGCTTTCACCCCTTCCTTCCTTCCTTTCTTCCCACCAACCCTTCTCCTTCCTTCTTTCCTCTTCCTCGCTCCCACCCCTCTCCTTCCTTCCTTCCCTTTTTCTCCATCTTTCCTTATCTCTCTGCTTCCTTCCTTCCCCTTCCTTTCTTTCCCTTTCTTCCTTCCCACCCACCCTTCTCCTTCCTTCCTTCCTCCCTTCCTTCTTCTTCCTCCCTCTCAACCTTCTCCTTCCAACAACTTTTCCTTCCTTCCTTCCCTTTTCCCCAATCCTTCCTTCCCTCTCTCCCTTCTCCCTTCCTTCTTTCCTCTCCCTCCCTGCCACCCCTCTCCTTCCTTCCTTCCCTTTTTCTCCATCTTTCCTTATCTCTCTGCTTCCTTCCTTCCCCTTCCTTTCTTTCCCTTTCTTCCTTCCCACCCACCCTTCTCCTTCCTTCCTTCCTCCCTTCCTTCTTCTTCCTCCCTCTCACCCTTCCCCCTCCAACAACTTCTCCTTCCTTCCTTCCCTTTTCCCCAATCCTTCCTTCCCTCTCTCCCTTCTCCCTTCCTTCTTTCCTCTCCCTCCCTGCCACCCCTCTCCTTCCTTCCTTCCCTTTTTCTCCATCTTTCCTTATCTCTCTGCTTCCTTCCTTCCCCTTCCTTTCTTTCCCTTTCTTCCTTCCCACCCACCCTTCTCCTTCCTTCC